TGCATACGACAGCTTTTCAAGACATCGCCTGCAGGGACGGCTGTATAGGCGAAAGCTGTCTTTCAAGCTAAGTTCTCCAACAGTCCACTATTTAATCTTTGACTTAGCTTGTAGCATTATCCTCAACAGATGCCTATTTGTCAATCATGCCTCTACACAGGAAAAAAATTTCTCCTCCTATTCTGTGAACCTTAAGTTTTCTCAATAGTCTCTGATGTGGAACTCTATCAGAAGCCTTATTGAAGTCCATATACATAATATCATATTCAACACCATGATCCACCTCCTTAAATACCTTAGTGAAAAAAGTTAGTAAATTGGTAAGACAGGAACGCCCCTTTGTAAAACCGTGCTGAGATTAACTAATCAATTTATGCCTTTCAAGATGGCTACGAATTGTCTCTGCAACAATTAATTCCATAACTTTTCCCACTATGGAGGTAAGGCTTATTGGTTTATAGTTAGAAGCTAAGGACCTGTCACCTTACTTGTAAATAGGTATTACATTTGCGATATTCCATCTTCTGAAATTTGCCGAAGAAATTAATCATTCATGGAGACTAGAAAAGGTGACTGGAGTAATTGCACCTTGGGTAGCGAAAGCCCCAAAAATGCCATCCTATCAGAAACAAATATCACTGTCGCCGCAGGGCATGGAAACACCGCACACCCATAAAAACAAAAGTGGCGCACAGATCTCTTTGTGGCACTCTTATGTGGTGACATTCAAGCTAATCCAGGACCTCAAACTAATGTACAGATGCAAACCAGGTAGATTAGGTGTCCCTGTACTCATTGTGGTAAAGGTGGAAGCCACAGTCGAGCGATGAACTGTGATGTATGTGAAGAGTGGGTGTACATAAGCTGCACAGATAAAATTAGTGACGATGTATACGATGGACTAGTAACTAGGAATGCCAACCTTAACTTTGTCTGTAATGCATGCATAGGTCAACGTGAGGCCACAGAAATAATATAATGACCTCAAATAAAACAAGACAAAGGTTTACACTGTACTAAGACACAAAAGACGAACAGTAAACGCATCATATGTACATCGTGTAAGGGGTGGGTGCATTATGGTTGCATGTGTGGTCATGTTAATGTTTGTAACAAATGAACTCTAATCCAATTCCTTTTAGTAGTGTTGACATTGAGTTACCCCATGCCAGATATTTATGATTATGACTGCTTCAAGAAAATAGGCCTTCACTTTATTCATGTCAGTGCGTGGTCACTCTTGCCCAAGATATCAGAGATTAGGATTCTAGCTAACTGAACCAAGGCGGCAGTTATATCCGTCTCTGAATCCTGACTGGATGTCACGGTGACTGACGACAAGGTCAAAATAGAAGGTTGCATCATAAAGCGCTTAGATAGGGATAGAAATGGCGGTGGGGTAGGTGCTTATGTCAGAATGACTTAGCCTACAACCCAAGACCTGATTTGAATGAAAATAAACTGGAGATTCTATGGCTTGAGGTGTTGTTACCCAAGACTAAACCAATTCTAGTAGGAACTAGTTACCGCGTCCCCCCCACCCATGATCAGTTCTTAGAGGATTTTTCTAGAGAGTCTTGTCCGGAATTGATAGGAATTCTGAGACAGTGATATTGTGAGATTTCAATATCTATTTCCAACAGCGTAATAATTGGCTATGTAATAGGTATAAGCAAATTCTGGGGTTATGTAGTTACACTCAACTAATTAATGCATCAATCCGGATTACACAGTTCTCAGCCAACATATTACACCACATCCTTTGTAATCGCCCTGACAACATTAGCCAGTCAAGCGTCTTTACCACAGGTCTTAGAGATCATCTCGTCATTTACTGTACCAGGAAAATCATTAGGGATCGGATAGGCTATATAGCACAATTAAAATAAGGTCAACTAGAAACTACAGTAAAGGAACACTGGTAAATAGACTACAAAATTGTGATTGGACAGTGATAAGTTCCACGGACGTAAATGATGCCTGGGAAAAAATCAAAACAATGTTCACTACCATCCTTGATAATATTGTACCAGTTAAGGAGGTTGGAATTAAACGAAGAACTGAACCCTGGATGACTACTGAGATATTAAATAATATGAAATTCAAAGACCAGTTGCTAAAAAGATTTAAAATAAACAAGCAGGATATTGCAACGTTAAATGAATTCCAGAGAGTTACGGACAGAGTACAGAGACTCATTAATTTGATGGACAACCTGAGAACTGAAATGTCGCTGGGAATTTCATAGACTTACAAAATGCCTTCGATACAGTCAACCTCAATATATTATGTATGATACTACAAGTTGTCGGCATGAGTTCTGAAGAAAGGTTTAAGTCCTACCTGACCAACAAGAGCCAAGCTGTTAAGATCAACACAGAATCAGAACCCATGCCGATAACATGTAAGGTTCCTCATGATAGTATCCTGGGCCCTTTGCTATTCCTGTGCTATGTGAATGACATGCTTATCATTGTCAACTGTACGCAGATGATAGTGTTCAGTTAATATCACTAACTAATGTACTATCACTAGGACTAGAGTCCTGTAGCAAACGGTTGGTAGACAACAAATTATCACTACACCAAGGGAAAACGGAAGACGTACTCTTTGGCACGAAACATAAATTGAAAAGGGTAAATAATTTTAATGTCCAGTGTAATGGGGAACCTATTATTAGAGTAAATTCGGTGAAATATCTGGGAATCCCCTTCGACCCAAGGATGTCAGAACTAAAAAGGAACAATGTTATAAAGAAAGCGAATGCCAGACTGAAGTTCCCTGCTACAGACAGGTGCAGAGTCTACCAACTGAGGCTCGCGGGATGCTATGTCTAGCTCTCATACAATGTATTATAGACTACTCAGGTTCTTCATGGTACTCTGCCTTAACAAAAAAAAAAAACTGATAGGCTACAAATCACACAGAACAAAATGGTGAGATTCATTTTGGACCTGAGTCCAAGAGAGCATGTTGGCCAGAATGAATTACAACAACTGGACATTCTGACTCTTGAAGACAGAGTAAATCAACTAAAGCTAAATTACGTTTTAAAATTGCTCACAACCAGTGTCTCCAATATCTTGCTGCCAATTTTGTTAGTCCGGGAACCAATGCAGTTATAGAACTAGGGGAAAGGAGGGCAACTTTGCAGTACCTAGAGTCAGTGGTCAGGCTTCAAAGACATTTGTCTGTACGGCAGTGAAAGAGTGGAACAGATTGCCTGCACATGTCAAAGCCTGTCATAACATGAGCCAGTTCAAGAAGACAGCCAAAATGTACCTCAAAAATAAGGCTACAGAAAGGGAGGAGAGTGATTTCTTGTATGAAAATAACTAGTTTTATCTCTCCCTTGGTATATCTTCTTTTATTGTAACTGTTTTTACATAAGATACTTACCTGTTTTTAGCTTTTAAATATAAATAATAATTATCACAAGAACCCCAATGGAAATAAGTAGCTTCGTCTGACTTTTTTTTTGGCTCCTACACATATGCTACTATGTATGATATTCTGTAATTGTGTATACCTAAATAAGCTTGCTTAATATATTGTCCCAGGATGCAACATAAACCAGTCGACTAACACTCAGGTACTCATTATTACTGATGGGTTAACAGGGACAACAGGTACAAGGAAAGAAGCCCAGTATTTCCACCCTTGCCGGGAATCGAACCAAGGACCCTCACCGTGTAAAGAGAGAGCTTTGCCCACCAGACCACGAACCGCCTGCTTTTCATTTTATCGATAGGCTTTAAGTTCCCAGAACTCAGCTAATATAATTACACATTTTATTTAGGAAAAATCTACAAAACATTTTACAGAGTAGAACAAATTTGCACAAATGTTTCTGATGGGATATTAGTGTCATATACAGACGTAGTCATTAACTGAAGCAGAATTGATCGAGGGTAACTTAACAAAATCAACCTAAGCAACTTTTTTTGACCCAGGGTTTCTTATTTTCCCACAGAGTTATGAAAATTTTTTGGAACCAGAGTTTGTCAGTAATAGAGATGCTTAGAGCACCCATGGCTGTGGCAAGGTGCCATCCTCAATATCAATCAATCAATCAATCAAGTTTATTCTCTATAAAGATTACAATGCGGGGTTTACATATACATATTAAGATTAATTCAAACTTATATTGGTACAGATTATAGAGCATGTTGATATTAAGGCTAAGTAAAATGTACTGCAGTTCGTAAATTAGCAATGTGAATGGTTTTGTCCTGGTACGATACATAGTTTCTATTGAAGCTCCTATATTGGAGTATCTTGGCCCTTTTGACTAGTTTAAGATTCATTAGGTAATAGTTGTATTACGTATTTCTATGTTTATAGTCAATTGGGTGAGTGTAAGTGTGAATTGTTGGGAATCACAGATACTGAGAGTAGGTCTTAGGCCCTTTTTTTTATGTGTGTATGATACAAGAGAATAGGTGGGGTGTGTCAGGGAGAGTGATGATTGTGTCTGCAGGTCTAGAGTTTTCAGGTAGGGTGTTCCAGATTTTAGGTCCTTTTATGTACATTGAATTTTTTGTATAGGTTTAGCTGGACACGGGAAATGTCATAGAGATTTTTGTGTCTGGTGTTATGCCTGTGGGTCCTGTAACAATTATCAAGAAAGTGTTTTATGTCAGAGAATTGGAATTTAAGGTTCTATAAATGTAGGTTGCAAAGTAGTAAGTGTGGATGTTCTGTACAGTGAGTGTGTTTAGATCTTTGAAGAGTGGGGGGGGGGGGGGTTGCCTGCAAGGATGATGCATTTTGAAACAGTGAGACAGGTCTCTTTATATAGAAAGTGGGGTCGTGAGACAAGTCTTACTTGGTGGTGAAGCAGGAAGAGAAGAGAGGTCTTACCTGGTTGTGAGGCAGGTCTTACTTGGTCGTAAAGCAGGAAGAGAAGAGAGGTCTTACCTGTGGTGAGGCAAGTCTTACTTGGTCGTAAAGCAGGAAGAGGGAAAAGAGGTCTTACCTGGTGGTGAGGCAGGTCTTACCTGGTCTTGTGGTAGGAATGGGTGCGAGCAAGGGTGTTGTATGAAGTGCACTTCCTGGGCTGCTAGTATCTCCCTCTTCATCTTGGCCTCATAGCGGTGCAGTGTGAGACTGGCCGGGGAGATAAAAACTCGCTATATAATTGAGATAAAGTCACGAACGACACTCAATGAATAAACAGAGGTATAGGTCGGTTCAAGTCTCCGTCCATTCTTCTATTAATTCAAGCGGTGTAAGGCTGTAAATAGTACTATATACTTGCAAAAAAGGACACATGTATTTTTTCAGGACACATATTAAAGGAAGCGTATCGCCAGGAGTGGCTTCATAAAGCTACTCCTGGAAGAAACACTATCTTTATTAAATGTCCTGAAGTTGTACACGAGTGTGGTCACCCACTAGGCAGCCATGTTTACCCTTCCATCTGCACAAGTAAGAACAGAGACTAACAGTTACCCCACAAATGACGCGAAATTGTAAAATTTTCTAATGTATTATGTTTTCAAAAATGAAAATCCTGGACATTGAATTTTAAATTCCGTAATAATATAATTCATTAGTTAAAATAATATATTTAATGTAATAAAGTGTAATAATAAATGTAATAAAGTGTAATAAAGTATTCCCCCTTATTAAATTGGTCCGTGGTGTATAATTTTAGTGATGAGTTCAGAAATTATCATTATTATTATGATGTCATTGTGGTTATTATTTTTATTATTCTTGTTTCTATTATTATTACTATTTTTACTGTTACTATCACTATTGATGTTAATATTGTGATTATTATTATTTATGTAATTTAATACTGGAAAACTTTTTCCACCATTTTCCCCCTGCAACTGAAAAACATAGTCAGAGTGTACTTGATATATATGCAATTTCATCTGTCAATAAAATTTGCAAATATTCCCATTACTGGAAAAGCTGAAAATTAACTAAAGAAATGTGTTACAAGTGTGACCATTCTCGCATTTTTGATTTTCTATTATTTGCAGTTCCCAATACATTTTCACTAGAATTTTTTTGTTTATCTGTAATTAGAACATAAGTTCAATTTTGTATATGTCTGATTATTTTTCTAGTATTAAATTCATTGTAATACTTACTGTGATATAAATAAGGTTTATTGAGGTGAGTTGGGCTCTTTTTTTTTATGTAGAAGTTTTGTGAAGAGTTTGTGTACACTGGTTGGAGTGCTGTTTCAAATTCCTGGAGGTAAACATGTGGAAAAGTATGTGTAACCAAAGCCTCGCTCTCACACCTTTGTCGGCTTAAGGGGCACGTCAGTTCCCTGTTTTTTTAATAATATTTTTATTTTACCCTATAATCTACCCTATCCATAATTACTATCGCATTTGTTTTTGTCTGCTTTCGCAAGGTGAAGTCTACAGCTTTTCTTAATTCATGATAATTTTAAAAAACTTTTGGGGGACACTTGTGTTGTAGATTATAGGGGAAAAATAAACATAATATTAGTAGACGGGGAAAAACTCGCACGCCTATTAAGCAGCCTTTTTCAACTACTCAAATCTATTAATCTGCTTGTGGAAAATACTGTTTTATATTTTCCAAAAAAATCAGTATTTATATGTAAATAGATGACCATACTGTATTTAATAATATTTATGTCATAGAAAACGGAAAGCCTGCGTCTGCGCAGACAGTACTCGCCATCTTGGTTTTGAATTTTGTACAAACGTTGGTGTAATGGGAAGAATTTTTTGTGCTCTAGGGGTTTTAAAATTGTGTTGACACCTCTCAAATAGGAGGCGAAATTGGTGGATGTGCATTCCTGCATAACTTGAGATATCAGACGACTGGACAAGACAGCTCCAGGAACCTCAGATAAGCTCTCTAGATTTGTGTGTAATTTCTGGCCAGCATTATTTTCATAGATTTAGTTAGAGTGGGGTTTTCTGAGTATGATACACATTAATCTCCAGTCAAACTGGTGAGTGATTTTAAGATATATTTTCCTTCTGTTTATGTAATTGTGTATATATATAACCATTTATTATTTTTAATATACAGTCCACAAATTTATATATTTTACCATAATTCCGGTGTATGTATATTTCATTTAATTAATAGGTCCAGAGAAACTTGTGGTTATGACAGTGGTAGGTATCGAAGGGGGACATTTTTTGCGACCTAGGTGTCCCAAATTCCTACTTGTCTATGTAACATTGATAAATAATAATTATCTTTGTTATCATTTACTGTTATGTACATAATTATTTAAACATTCAGATAAATGCAATTTTCCACACTGTGCTGCAAGCAAGGCTGTCCCCGAAGAGATGTCTAAAATTAGTAGAAGTTTAAGGGTTGGCCCAACCAGAAAACCCTGAAAAGATGTCTAAGAGTTAGCAGACTCAACCAGATATACTGAGGAAAGGTTCTATAGTTATTTGGGAAAACCTTGAAAACTTAGTTTTGGGAGTATCAAACCAGGCTTGTAATCTGGGATTCGGAAGTTCTCAGTGATAGCCTGAAGAAGGAATGCATCCATGCATTGAATCAAGGGAGGCAACCCAAGACAGTATGTTAAGGCAAGGAAGTTCCTTGGGAACTACATGGAGTGGGATTTCTAGTAAAAGTTAAGCATGTAATAATATTTTATATGTTTTGAGAGTGCAAATTTCCTTTTTTTTTTGGTATCAAAATTTTAGATTATCTTGTAATGTATGTATGTTTATTAAATTGTAAGTTTTTTATCTGGGTATGTTATGCTTCCCCCTTGGAGCCATGTAAATGAGGTCCATTTGTCAGGTTTTAAAATTTGATTTACATTTTTTTCTGTGTGGAGAGTCAAGCCTTGATAGGGTTTTCTGCTGTTCACTTTTCAGGCGGTTACAAACCTATCAGGAACCACTACCCTGGCCCGGTGGCCTGGGGGCCCTAAAGCTCCCGCTTCACACACGGAGGGCCTGGGTTCGATTCCCGGCGGGTGGAAACATTTCGACACGTTTCCTTACACCTGTTGTCCTGTTCACCTAGCAGCAAATAGGTACCTGGGTGTTAGTCGACTGGTGTGGGTCGCATCCTGGGGGACAAGATTAAGGACCCCAATGGAAATAAGTTAGACAGTCCTCGATGACGCACTGACTTTCTTGGGTTATCCTGGGTGGCTAACCCCCCGGGGTTAAAAATCCGAACGAAATCTTATCTTATCTTATCTTATAGCTATCCTGTACTATTTCTCACTGGGTTTTTTTCCTGCTCTAACCCAAATTTCGTTTCTCCCCCTTATCCTATAAGTTTAGCGACTTTTATCTCTTCCACTGTTAAAAGAGCAGGTGGTGGCAACATACTTCTGAGAGAATATAGTACAACCTCCTTTTCTCTCAAAGTTTAGTTATTTCCCCGTTTAATCTGTTTCCTATATTCTCATACTTTCGTTCGCTCCGAGTCTCTACATGAGGGAATAGACAATATGGTATCGTCTGGTGTTCTGTCCACCCTAAGGTGGGACTGGGGTAGGAGATGCATTTCATCAGTTAATATACTTCATCTTGTCAGGATCTACAGCTGAGTCACTATGTCTACATAACAGCATCTTGAAAACTAATTTGCCTGAAATGCTCTGCATAACAAGGGGCTTTCTATATAGTAGTATGTCAGTGATGTCAGCTAGGTTTGTATACTTTGTACATGTACTTGTAATAAATAAAGAAATTATATTATAAAAAAATTCGGAAAAATACGAAAATTGAGCTAATCGTATAAAAAACAGCTTAACTCTTTGGCAACACTCTGGTATAAGAATCATTTATTTATTTATTTATTTATTTATGTCTTTGCAAATAGTACATTGAGATTTTGTATTTACAATAGTGGGTTGCACTACAAACAGAGCCTCTATTATGCCTAGGCATTATGGGCCAACTTAACATTATTGACTTACAGACTACTTAACATTAAGAATTATGTCATAGTTGTGCAGTAGAATATTAATTATATTATAGTTTTACAGTAGATTATTAATTATAAGTGATCTAATTTATATAAGACAAAAGATATATTCATATATTCAAAAAATGCTTTTTGTGAAAACAATGATTCAATTATATTCCTGTTAACAATGGATAAAAGGTTCAAAGTAATTGTTGAAATTATGATGAGGAATACATTAGGATAATGTACTGAGTATTTAGCATTATCTAGGTGATTAAGGCTTTGAGAAAGTCTAATTGATTTTCAACCGGGTTACTTTAGTATCTCCTGGTAATGAATTCCAAATTTTGGGGCCCTTTATGTGCATAGAGTTTTTACACAGTGTGATATGGACACGAGGTATATCAAAAAGAGATCTGTATCTTGTGTTATGGTCATGTGTCCTGCTAAGGTTGGTGAGGAGAAGCTTGAGTGGAGGGTTTATATTTGTGTGTATTGTTCTGTGTATGTAGTAGACACATGAATAAATATGGATGTTCTTAATGGTGAGCAGATTCAGACTTTTGAAAATTGGTGGATTTGCTGGCGGGAGTGGGAATTTGTTATCATTCTGACTGCTACCTTTTGCTGGGTTATTAGAGGTCTTAAGTGATTGAGTGTTGTTGATCCCCATGCACAAATTCCATAGGTGAGGTAAGGGTATACGAGTGAATGGTACAGTGCCAGGAGAGCTGATTGTGGAACGTAGTACCTTATCTTTGATAGTATACCTACAGTCTTAGAGATTTTCTTGGTGGTTTGTTGTATGTGTGTCTGGAACTTAAGGCTACTGTCAAGGTGGATACCTAGGAATTTTCCCTCTGTAAATCTTGTGATTGATGATCCGTTTAGCGTTATGTTAATTGGACGAGTTGCAGCTTTGTTTCCAAACTGAATGAAATATGTTTTATCAGTATTCAGGGTAAGTTTATTAGCCATCATCCAGGCAGATATTTTCTGCAGTTCAGCATTGACAGTGTTTGCTAGTATGACTGGGTTTGGGTGGGAGAAGACGTATATTGTGTCATCTGCAAATAATATGGGTTTGAGTAGCTGTGATGCATTTGGTAGATCATTGATGTAGATGAGAAAGAGGAGTGGTCCAAGGACACTCCCTTGTGGGACTCCTACTGTGATTGGTTGGGTGGAAGAGTTTGCACCATTTGCGAACA